CATCTGGCTATATGTTTTGTACATCCGTTATCTGTCATCCTTGCCACATGACCGACCCAAATCACCTTTGGCACTGAAGATATACCGGTGATCACACTGAGCCGTATTGTCGGAAAAAAAGCACAAAGTTGGCCACCAAGCATTGGTTGGATTTTGAGAGACGGAATAATAAATTGCGGCCATTAGAAGTCCGAATCGTAATCTTAAAACAAGTGGACGGTCCAAAGAAAAGAAAATGTAGAGCGGCCGGAGTCAGAAAGTCTCTGAACGAAGGGTGGGATAAGTTTGCTAAAATAATTTGCGACCGTTGGTAGGCGAAGCTGTAGTCTTTAAAACAAGTGGACGGTCCGAAGCAAAAAAAGTGGGACGGCCACAGTCCGAAAATTTTAACTTAGGGTGGGGTTGGTTATAACTTACGACTGTGGCTATCCCTTTTCTTTTGCGTCGAATCGTCCACTTGAATTTTCTCAATAATTCGCCTCGGCTACAACAGCACTGCGGATGTTGGCAGAGATAGTTAATCCAGGATGGCAGGAAGATTAGAATACACACACACACAGAGGGAGAAAGAAGCTCGAATTTCCGATGTAGTGGTAGTGTAGACGAGAATTTCGCGATAGCGGACGAGATATTGCGTAAAAATCGTTAGAATGGAGCTTTTTTGCAAAAAAGCGCCGATCGGGGAAATTTAAGAGAAATTTTTCATCCCTCCTTGGTCTTGGGTTTTTCTGTTCATCCTCACTTCTGAAGGCGTAATAACTCCTTAAAGATACTTATGAGATGCGTGAGATATGGTTTTTTTCCCCATGGCACGTTCTGCCTGCCGGATCCTCACTTTTGAGGGCATAATAGGTCCTTCAACATGCGAAACAGCGTTTGCGTTGTTACCAATAACAAGTTTTCAGAAATTTTTTAGAAACAGAAAAAAACCAAAGAAAACAGAAAAAGAAAAAAAACCAAAAATTTTCAGAAAATAAAAAAATAAGTTTTCAGAAATTTTAAAGATGCAAACAATGAGCGTGCCTGGCTAGGAGAATGCAA